AGGTTCATCACATTTTCCATTTACCACTACATTAATTTCCTTTCCTTTGAACTTTGGTCTAAAGCTTGTTTGAGAGGTCAGAATAACAGGGATGGGGTTGACCAAATCACTTTTTCCCATTTTCTTAAGTATAGCTACTAAATTTACTGTTCTCCTGTGGTTCAGTGCCACCCCTGATTTGTCAGTTTATTAAAAATGTTTGTTACCAGACTAGCAATTTCATGCGCCAATTCTTTCACAGTACCTTGGGATGGAGATTATTTTGTCCTACTTGAGCACATTAATTTTTTTGAGATTTGCTTCCCTCATGTCTCATCCTATGAATTTAAAGCACCTAGCATGTTTTTTTGGGGGCATGGGGGCTAGGGGATTGATGGGTGCCTTATTCAGAAGCACAAATGACACTTAACTACTTAAATTGACTCCCAAGTTAGTTAGGTGTTTAAACTGCTATTTTGTACCTTTCAAAAATCTCCTCCTCTGTAAATAATTAAGACAGTATTTGCAGGCTGCCATGAACATCACCTCCTACATTAAAACGTCTGCTTAGACTTTCCACCAAAAAAGCAACTCCAAATTCAGCGGAAGCATGAGAAGCTTTAGTTCCCCAATGAAATTAATTTGACAAAGTTTGGATGTGTGGAGGTGACAGTGAAAGCTGGTTATCAGTAGAAAAACCTTGCCAATTCATGATATAATGTAGGTCTTTAGTTATATACTAGCCAGTTGCCCATCAAAAATGATGGGGGAGAGGGAAGGGGAGCGGCTGGGGAGTGGCCCACGTCTGGCCCTGCTCCTCCCCCCCACCTTCAGGGCCAGGCCCGGTGCCCCTCTCCCCACTGGCCGCTTCAGGGCTGGGGCCAGGCCGCCCCCCTCATCTGCTCTGTTGCTGCTACCTGCAATACTGGGGGTGGGGCTGGCCAGTGGTGCTGGCCTTGCCCTCCCCACTGTCCTCTCTGTTTTTGTGGCCTGCAGGGAGTAGGACGGACAGGGCCAGTGCTGCTGGCCCTGCCACCCCTCCGTCTGCTCCATTGCTGTCCCCTGCAGGGTTGGGGGGCCGGGGCCAGCGGTGCTGGCCTTGCTGTGAGGGGGTGGGGCCAGTGCCACCAGCCCATCTGCTCTGTCACTGGCCCGGGGGCGGGTGGGGATAGAGGCCCTGGGCCAGGCTCGCTCCCCCCACCCTCGACCCTGGGGCCACTCCCCCCACCCCTACCCAGGGGGCTGGTGGGGACAGAGCCCAGCATCTGGCCCTGTACCCCCAGTCCCGTTGTCTGGCTCCACCCCCCAATTTGGGCCTGCCCCTGTTCCCACCACCTGTTGTTCCAGCATCTGTAGCCTGAAAGAGTTGGGTACATGTCTTAGTTCTGCAGTGTAAAGGAACATCTG